AGGCGGCGTGGGGGGTTAGCTGGCAGTCGGTCTGCACGGGAAGCCGGTTTTTAAACTGGCTCCCCTTGCGGACTGTCTCCCGCCTGGCATGCCAAGCTGCTGCCTCTGATACAGAGCCAGTTTAAAAACCAGCTTCCCATGCAGACTGACTGCCAGCTACCCCACACTGCTGCCTCTAGTACAGAGGCAGCAGCCCAGGATGGCAGGGGGCTGCCCAGGAATGGGGCCCGATTGCACTAGCTGTAGGCCCCACCCCCAGGAACTATAGAATAGTTGAATAACGGCTAAGAATTCATGCATTACCCAACATCTAACATCCCTAGTACAAATAAAGTTTCTTTCAAAGCTTGGAACTTTTTCAACAACTTTGACTGGATGGCTAAAGGAACTGTAACAAGAACTTCAAACCTTAACCTATAGATCACTGGTTTAAAATCCAACTTAGGTTGATAACCACCAAAAACCCCTGAAGTGTGACCAAATGCCATGTGAGTTTGTTAAAGGGCTTTCCCTTCATCCCCTCCCCCAGTTCTGGTAATGAAGATAGAAAGCAGAAGATCAGATGTGCAGTGCAAGGCGGTGTTTGTTGGGGTTACTTTAAGAATGCATATCCATAATTCTATACACTGGTAGAGTCTGCTTCCCATTGTTTCATTCCCAGATCTGCTGTCCAACCCGTTGCTTATCTCCCTGTTTCCCTATTGCCCCTACTCCTCCTTAGTAGGTCCAAATATATATACCCGCTATACATACTCCTGGGTACTGCTCCTTACAACTTATAGTCATGGTTCATTTTGAAGGGTAATGAGTCTTCATCCCACCTCTTTTGTACCCATAGAAAGGGTAAAGAGTGGGATTGTGTGCTGGCCAAGGCCAGGCTTTTCTTCATCACTTAGTGTGTTTTATGCCTCCTCCTCCACCCTCTTTGCCCCTCCAAACTGGTTGCTTGACCTTGGCTTGATAGGGGAGCCACGCAGCCAGACTATACCAATTCCTCCAATTGATGCCAGTAAAATGTGGATTAAGAACCCATTTACTACTGACACCGAAAATGAAGTAATACTACAACTGAGTGCATCAGAAGTGGATTCATTAACTGAACTTTCCTGTGACTCTGCCTTAAAAGAGAACTTTTGATAAAACCCTCCTTGATTGATTTTTGGTTGAGCGGTAGAAACGAATATTCACATTTATCTGAGAAAGCAGTCAAGTTCTTAATGCCTTTCGTCACGACATACAAACGTGAAACTAGTTTAAAAAAAAAAAAAAAAAAAAAAAAAAAAAAAATAGAAATAGATTCAATGTTGAACCAGACTTGAGGATAAAACGTTCTTCTTTTGCTCCTGACAAAGTTGCTATGTGATGCAAAACAACATCACCCTTCCCATTTGTTCTCTTTTTAGTTATTTAAAAGTTATAAACTTATATTCAACCCATTCAATTATAAATAAAAAAGCTTTACAACTGTTAAAATTCTACTGGTTAAATTGTAATTAAGATTTGTGTTATGTACTGTTATTATTGTAACTAAATAATACAGTTAAAATGTATTCATTTTTCATTCTTTTTCTTAATATGCATTTATATTTTGGGGCTGCAAAAAACAGTACTAAAAAAATGGATTCCAACTTAAGTAAAAAGTTTGGGAAACCCTGGTCTAGCCGGCTTTCTATCCATCTTACAGTCCAATCCATATTCCCGTAACTTTCTGGCAAGAATATTGTGGGTGACCGTATCAAAAGTTTTGCTAAAGCTGGCACTGAAGGCTTCGGGAGGACCAGAAACTTATTTGCATATTCATCATTTGCTTAATGAATATGCAAATATGTAAATGAATGTTACCAGTCCTCCAAAAGCTCGTGAATGGATTTACTGGTCCCCGTCTCAAAAAGTTTGGGAACCCTTGCCCTAGGGTAGATGTTGCATAGGCCAGCAGAAGGAGAAATTCTGCTGACATAGCTGTACCACATCCCTTAATGTAATTAGCTAAACCAATACAAGCACTCTCCTGTTCGAATCATTGCACCTACACCAGAGATTTAGCTGACAACTATGCCAGAAGGGCCGCATTTCCCCTCCCCCCCCCCCCCACACACACCCTAACCAAAACAACAATGCCAGCAGACCTCTGTAGTACAGACTAGACCTAAAAACACCTACCTGTCTGATAGTGTAAAAAGGAGAGAAGAGGCTTTTCTTAAGGTTGTGCTTTCAAGACTAAGTCTGATGCAGCTTTTAACCATCTCATCAAGTCTGTTGGTGTGGAAGAAGCCATATGCATTACTGAGGAAGACATCTGAGCATCTCATATCTTGGGCTCTTTTTAGCATGATATTCCATAATACAGATGGTAAGATGATGCTTATTGTGTCTGGGATGTAGCTGGGGATGGTACTGTTTGCATTACACAGAAAGGGTGTAAATCCCTAGAACACAGAAGACATCTTTGAAGGCCTTCAGCATGTGCATGCCACAGTCTTCTCCCTAAACATCTGAGTCCTCAGAAGGCAAGTCTTGAATCATGAACTGCACTTCCCCTGGATATCCAAAATTTGGAATCACAATGCATTGAGCATAGTCACTGCAGTAGCTATAGCCCTGTCTAAAATGCCAGAAAGATAGTCTTAATTATAGCCTTAAGCTATTCTCTGGGACATGAAGAGCAGACACCAGTCATATTTGGCCAGCAGCAGCAAAGTGAAATACAATTTCCTCCCAAATGTGCTGAGGTATACTTTTGAACAAAAGTACACAGAAGGACAATCTCATCTTTTCTTGTATGGCTGATACAACTCAAAATCCTAGGTTGGGATGATTGTAGAAGCTCTCAAACTCCATATGGGGTAGGGTAGCCTGTAATGGGGTAGCACTTGCACTCAGCCAGATGGGGGGCCTTGTAGGAGGCAAGTGCCTGCACTGCTTCAATTTAATCAGCCTTTTAGGCTCCTCAACCCTTTAGCCGAATCACACTCCTGTGTGAATCAAAGTCCTTCCAGGGTACACGTTTACAAGGGCTCATCTGATGCCCTCTATATGATATCTGAGTCTACCTCAGACTCAGATGGAGAATGGTGCCTCCAGGGCTTCCCTTCCTGGAGACAGTGTCAGAGCCCTGAGGTAAGGGTGAGATCACAGCTAGTCCTGCCATGCTTTTTAACCTTGTGGGACTGGCCTCAGGATAGATGCTCTAAAGAAACTCTTAAGATCAGGGTTTGTACAAAATTCTCGAACATATTCTTCAGCTCAGAAACCCATACTGTAAAGCCTGCCTAGAGAAATTTCATCAACTTTAAGAGCTATTAAAGTTGATTTTGGTACTCCTGCTTTTCACAAGGATTAACTCAAAATTCAACATGGCATGGTCAAATTCACAGCAATGCAGACCCAGTAGAGAAAGTCAAGGTTTTTGGCCTCCAGAAGGCCTCCCACAGTTCCCTGCTCTGACTGCTCTGCCTAGAACTTTTACCTCTACAGTTATCCAGGTAAACAGAAAAAGCATCAGAAAAGTTTGAATTTCATTTCCTGTGTGGCCAGCATTGAGAGCACACCTCAAAACGTAGCACACCTCAGCAGCACACGTGGTCATGACTTCAAGTCCCATGAGTTCCAGTTCCCTGGGGC